GCCAGCCCTGGGCTGGCTGAAGAATTCTGGGAGTTGAAGTCCACAAGTCTTAAAGTGGCCAAGTTTGAAAGACCCCTGGAGTTGGGAGAAGGGCAGGGGGAAAATGGAATGCAGACTCCAGACCACAATAAATCAAACTGTGGGAACCAAGGACGTTTCAACAGATGTTTACCAACCCACAAAGACACTTTCTCATAACAAACTTTTGACACCTGATTGGACAACGTGACATGCATTAATAGGAGGAAGGAGAACTGTATGTTTTGATTATAGCGGTTTGTGCGGGAAATAACCGGAGCTGGTTTCACTTTCACTCATGCCAAAATGATGTACTCAATAAAGTTTTGCATAAACAGATTGGATCATCTCATCAGTACTTACTTGGTTGGGTATGTTAGTCGGAACCTTGACACCTAGGCTTTTATTTATGTATTTATGTGGCTTTTCTGTGATGTTGTAAACCAGGGGTCTTTAAACTTGGCCCTTTTATGACTTGTGGACTTCAACTCCCAGAATTCCTCAGCCAGGCAAGCTGGCTGAGGAATTTTGGGAGTTGAATTCTACAAGTCATAAAAGGGCCAAGTATGAAGACCGCTGTTGTAAACTGTCCAGAGTCACATAGGTGAGGCGGGTAGTGTAGAAATCTTATTAAATAAACAAATCAATTTCTGGTACACAGCAAAAATAAAAGTTTTTCTCTGAAACCTCCAATCACAGGGTTGATTACCAAATCATGTGAAACTTTAAAAATTAACTTAACTCTTTTGGAAAAAGCTTTTTTGCTCATGCACACTTTTATGCTTGTGGGGCCATGCAACACAGGTGCTGGGGGGGAAATTCTGTGTCCAGAATATAAAAAGTTTGTGTAATGCTGATTTTGGCAATTTCCTCCCTGCTTCCCCCATCCCCAGAATCTTAAATGTAATGGATCAATTGAAGGCACAATTTATATCACACACGCCTTTCACCCAATGTTATGCAAATTAAATTGTACTTGTTCATCTATATCAAGTAGCAGTCAGAAGACAGGATGAAAACTTCTTAACTGCACAATACAGGTAGTCCTCGACTTACGACCACAATGGGGCCCCACATTTCTGTGGTTAAATGAGACATTTGTTGAAGAAGTTTTGCCCAATTTTGTCACAGTTCTTAAGTAAATCACTGCAGTTGATCAGATAGTAATCCGGTTGTTAAGTGAATCTGGCCATAAATATGAACCAGTTGTTAAGCATTTGAATTTGGATCACATGATCATGGGGATGCCGCAAAGGTCATAACTGTGAAAAACCGTTATAAGTCACATTTTCCAATGCCATTGTAAACTTTGAACGATTGCTACATCAACTGTTGTAAATAAAGGACTATCTGTACAGGGACAGACTCCACCATAATTTCAACTGGGAAACTATGAGCATCTTAGATCGAGCTCAGTCCAAAAAATGCTAGACTCACAGGGGTAGGTAGGGAACCTTGGCTCTTTTATGACTTGTGGACTTCAACTCCCAGAATTCCTGAGTCAACATGTCTGGAGAATTCCTGGAGGCCTGGCACTCAGATAAATCAGCCATCAACAGCACAGAGGGATAAACAACATCTACATACCATTCAAAAGAGACAACCAAAAGGAAACAAAGCACTTCCTGGCCAGCAATCAACACCCTGATAAGAAGGAGATTAAGATCAAGGTTAACTCGCTGGACAGTAAACTGGGATGATGGCGGATAAAGGAAGGAATTGCGTCATTCCTGTCTTTTGGATCAATTCTAGAATGGACAACCAGACTTTGTGTCAGGAAAACAGAAGACAAAGAATGAACCCATTGTAAAATCTTTTAAATCCATCTTCTCCAGCCCACCATTAAAAAATACACAACAAACACAAATCTATCTTTTTAAAGCTCTCCGTAGCTAGATCACACAATGAATGAACTAAGCCACAATTTTGTTTCACCAGCTCGGCTGATTGACACGACAATGAACCGTCAATCCTGGTTGACCTACGACAATGGCTATCTTTGCATGCTGCTTTAAGCTCAAAGCAGACAAACCATGACGCCCCTTAGCAGAAAGCTGGGAAAAACGCAATTTGAAAACGCAATACATTGCATATTTATCAGAGCAGACCTCAGAGGCTTTCTCTTAGAAATAGCAACAGTGTTGTGGATTATTAGGGGATCCACCTCATCTCCAAAGCACCTGAAGGCAGAAGAAGAAGCAATGAACGGAAACTAATAAAAAAAAAAAGAAGCAAGCTAGAACTAAGGAGAAATTTCCCGCCAGCAAGAACAATTAATCAGTGCAACAATCCGCCTCCAGAAGTTGTGGGTGGAGGTTTTTAAGAAGAGATTGGACAATCATTTGTCTGAAATGGCCTTGAGTAGGGGGTTGGACTAGAAGACCTCCAAGGTCCCTTCTTTTATTCTAATGGAGGTTTGCATGGACAAGAGAACGCTCATTAAAGTTCATAACTTCTTCCTCCATGAGGTGCCTGGAAAAGCTACAAGTACTATTCAAACAAATAGGATTCCGCTTTTCACCACCCCGCTCCAGGCCCAAAGCATTTTTACGCACACCCCTGGGAACATCAAAAAGAGGTTTAAAGACACCATGAATGAACTGACACCCCCCCAAGAGGTAGAAGCTTCAAAGCCACAAGTCACCCTCTCTTCACTTTACTCCCTCCCAACTCCTCTTAAGAAGAAACCGCCCCAGTATTTTTTTTTTTTTTGCTGTTTTTTTTTTAACTGGTTGAAAAAAAAAGGTCGGTTTGTTTTGCTTGGGTGAATAAGCTACCAGCTGTCTTGATGAAGGACAGACTGGGGAAAAAAAGAGAAGCAATTCTGTGTCCATGGAAAAACTTCCACATTCAAGCGGGCACAGAGAGTCGAGATTTGGCAGGCTTTAAAAAGCCACCCAAAATATAAATAGATACTACAGGAAGAGAGGGAGGGGGGGGGATGTATATCCACGCAGCTCATCTGAAAGACGGCAAACAGAGAAATACACACATTTATTCCATAAATCTTATTCCCAACTAAGGGCACAAAAACCAGCCTTGGCTTGGCCAATTCTGCGTCTGCAAGCCACAAAATTCATTTGGGGATTTCTTTAAAGGAAAAAAAAAAAAGTTTTTCAACACACATACACACATCCCAACTCCACTTAACCTCCTCTTTTAAAAATTCACTTTAATTGTCCTTTTCCAGCAATTGGGCTAAAAAGCAGGGAAAGAGGCTGGATAGTGCAAACAATAAAAAAAAGCTTGATTTTCGTTTCTGCCCTTCCGCGGTGGGGATTTTTGAACCAGCCTTTTCTTTCTTTCTTTTTTTAATTAGAAAGTTACCTAAAGTGCCAGAGTGGAGGGCTAATTAACCTTTCGCAGCCAGCCAGCCGCCGAGCCTTAAGGGGGGAAAACTTGAAACTGGCAGCCAAAAATATTCTCGGGAAAAGATTCGCACCATTTTGCCCCTGGCCAGCCCCGAGTTCCTTTCTCCATTGGATCAGGATGGGCGCTAAAAGGGGCAATGGCGATGCCAGCCGCCCTTTCCAGGCTGGATTGCTCCAACATCCGCCCTCAGCCAAGGTTTTTTGCAATCCTGTTTTTTGGGGGGGGGGTAGGGGGTAGAGGCAGTGGGTTTCCGAGGATGCTCTTTCCACCCACGTCCCGCTTCCACTCCCCCTCCCGTGCTTTTGCTCAGCCCCTGCCCCGAGTCCAACCATCCTCCACTTACCTAGCCACCCACCCACCCACGCCACCCCCGGGATCAATCATTCATCGAGTCAAGCCTCGAGCTTCACACTTCCTGCGGGAAGGAAAGGGAGGAAGGGAGAGAGGGAAGGAGAGGAGGGGAGGGAAGGGAAAGGAAGGGAAGGGAAGGAAGGAGGGAGGGAAGGAAGGAAGGAAGGAAGGAAGGAAGGAAGGAAGGAAAGGAACCTGAAGGAAGGAAGGAAGGAAGGAAGGAAGGAAGGAAGGAAGGAAGGAAGGAAGGAAGGAACCCAGAGATAGGAAGGAAGGAAGGAAGGAAGGAAGGAAGGAAGGAAGGAAGGAAGGAAGGGAGGAAGGGAGGAAGGAAGGAAGGAGGGAGGGAAAAGAAACTGGAAGAAGGAAGGAAGGGAGGGGAAAGGAAAGGAAGTAAAGGAACCCGGAGGAAGGAAGGAAGGAAGGAAGGAAGGAAGGAAGGAAGGAAGGAAGGAAGGAAGGAAGGAAGGAAAGAAGGAAGGAAGAAAGGGGAAAGGAACCCGGAGATAGGAAGGAAGGAAGGAAAGAAGGAAGGAAGGAGGGAGGGAAAGGAACCCGGAGGAAGGAAGGGGAAAGGAAAGGAAGTAAAGGAACCCGAAGGAAGGAAGGAAGGAAGGAAGGAAGGAAGGAAGGAAGGAACCCGGAGGAAGGAAGGAAGGAAGGAAGGAAGGAAGGAAGGAAGGAAGGAAGGAAGGAAGGAAAGGAACCCGGAGGAAGGAAGGAAGGAAGGAAAGAAGGAAGGAAGGAGGGAGGGAAAGGAACCCGGAGGAAGGAAGGGGAAAGGAAAGGAAGTAAAGGAACCCGAAGGAAGAAAGGAAGGAAGGAAGGAAGGAAGGAAGGAAGGAAGGAAGGAAGGAAGGAAGGAAGGAAGGAAGGAACCCGGAGGAAGGAAGGAAGGAAGGAAGGAAGGAAGGAAGGAAGGAAGGAAGGAAGGAGGGAAAGGAACCCGGAGGAAGGAAGGAAGGAAGGAAGGAAGGAAGGAAGGAAGGAAGGAAGGAAGGAAGGAACTCATTCTAATCATCGGCACCTAAAATCAGAGGAGGAAGCAAGGAACCCGGGATCGGCCCGCCGCGTGGCCGCTCCCAGACCGGGTCCCCCGCGGAGCCGCCCACGCGAGGCTGCGATCGCGGGCGGGGCGCCTTTGAACCTGGCTCCGAGGCGAACTTTTGCCCAGCGAGCAGGAAAAACCCCCCCCACCCCATTCTCGCTCTCCCGGCCCGCCAAAGAGCCCCCACCCTCCCCTTTCCGCACCCGCTTACCACCGTCGGAGGCGCCCCCCGAAGTTGTGGCCGCCGCTGCTCCGGGGCTCCGCCGGCCCGCTTCCCCCGCTCAAAGCATGCCCAGCCGCGGCTCCTTCTCCCGGGGCAAGGCAGGCAGGCAGGCAGGCTGAGCCAGGGCGCAGCGCTCGGCGCTCCTCCTTCCCCAGCTGCTCCCGCCTCCCGAAAAAGGGGGCGATCCCGGAGACTGGAGGGGAAGGTGGAGCCGGGATGGGATTGGAGCCCGGGACGGTCACTCCGCGAGGGAGACTGCGGGGGGGGGAAGGTCCAAGGGAGGGGGGGAAATCCAGGCTCCGGAGGAAAAAGCCCCAAGGGAAGGGAAGGGGGGGGGCGAAGGAAGATTGCGAAATCCGGGCGCGGAGAGGTCGGGAGGGGGGGCGTTTGGGAGCCTCCCACGCGTGGCCAAGCCCGCGATGGCCCACTTCCCCCCCCCCGCGGGAATTTTCCTCCTCTTCCTCCTCCCATCCTTGGCTCTCGCGCGAGGCTGGCCCGCTTCGCCTCCCCCCCCTCCGCACCCCCACTTTTAAGGGGGGCGACGGTGCCAGCTGCGCCGGACGAGAGACCCCCCTTTTTTTTCCCCTCCGTCCCGTGGGGGCGAAGGTTGTTTTCCCCCCAACAAAGGAAAACTTTGGTGTTGCGGGAGTTACTCTCGGAGGAAACGAGCCGAGGATGAGGAAACTCGGAAGAGGGTCTCGCTTTGGGGGTGCCGCGTCCGGAGTCCAACTGGGGTGCTGGGCTTGGAGATGGGGATTATGGGGGGGGGTGGAAACTCGATGGGGGCCCTGCTGCGCTGCCCCCCCCCCCAGCGACGCTCTCTCTCCTTGCTTGCAAGCCACTGCTCCACAGCTTGGGCTTCAGCTTCCCAGAATTCTGCAACTTTTTTTTTAAAGAGTGGTGGCATTTCAATTCCCAGAATTCTGCAACTTTTAGGAGGGGGTGGGCTTCAACTCCCAGGATTCTGCAACTTTTAAGAGGGGTGGGCTTCAACTCCCAGGATTCCCCAGCCAGTATTAAAAGTGCAGAATTCCGGTCTTGAAATCCACACCTTTTAAAAGTTGCAGAATTCTGGGAGTTGAAGTCCACCCCTCTTAAAGGTGCAGAGGTCTGGGAGTTGAAATGCACAACTCTAAAAAAGTTGCAGAATTCTGGGAAGCTGAAGTCCATCCCTCCTAAAAGTTGCAGAATTCTGGGAGTTGGAAGTCCATCCCTCCTAAAAATTGTGGAATTCTGGGAGTCGAAATCTTAAAATTGCAGAATTCTGGGACTTGAAGCCCACCCTCTCTTACAGTTGCAGAATTCTGGGAGTTGAAATCCACACCTCTTAAAGTTGCAGAATTCTGGGAGTTGAAGCCCACCCTTCGTAAAAGTTGCAGAATTCTGGGAGGTGAAGCCCACCCCTCCTAAAAGTTGCAGAATTCTGGCAGTTGAAGCCCACCCCTCCTAAAAGTTGCAGAATTCTGGCAATTGAAGCCCACCCCCTCTTAAAGTTGCAGAATTCTGGGAACTGAAATCCACCCCCCCTAAAAGTTGCAGAATACTGGTAGTTGAAGCCCACCCCTCCTAAAAGTTGCAGAATTCTGCTAGTTGAAGCCCACCCCCTCCTAAAAGTTGCAGAATTCTGCGAGCTGAAATCCACCCCCCTAAAAGTTGCAGAATTCTGGGAGTTGAAGCCCACCCCTCCTAAAAGTTGCAGAATTCTGGGAGTTGAAGCCCACCGCCTCTTACAGTTGCAGAATTCTGGGAGCTAAAATCCACCCCTTGTAAAAGTTGCAGAATTCTGGGAGTTGAAGCTCACCCCTCCTAAAAGTTGCAGAATTCTGGGAATTAAAGTCCACACCTCTTAAAAGCTGCTGAGGTTGAGAAAGATGGCCTTTTCAATAACTATTGGAACCATGCAAAGAAATGGGTCAACTCTGCTCCTGCTATGGCAGTGAAAGAGAACTGTAGTTCTCCATTTATTGCAGGAACTACAATACCCAACCTTTCCCCTCCTAGCTGTGGCTGCTGATCTTTGCCTCTTGAAAGATCTTCATTCAAATCTAATATAAGATTTAGGAAGGACAGGATAAATTGAATTCCTCAACCTGTCAATTTTTCCATCCTTGTATTTACATTGACTGACAAACACATCTGGGCTAAACAAACAAACAAACCAAAAGCTGTAACCTTATTCAGACAACTACATTCGTCTCCCTGTTAAAACAAAGCAGGGAGGAAGTCAACCAGCTAACCATTGCACCCGAGAAAGAGAAGACTCTCTAGCAAACCATGATAGTTTGCAAGATCATCTGGTTCTGAAAGTAACTACGGGTCTTGCCAGAGGTGGGGGTTGTCTTGTGTGAATGTCACAGACTTAAGGCAGCCTTCCTTGATTCAACACCCTCCATATATGTTAGGGTTCAGCACCCCATTCATCATGGGGTCCCAATCCATCGGCAGCACCGCCCATTGAGCGAAGCCTGCATGAAGAGTTTGAGAAGCCGGCATGCTGGACATGCCTTCTTCGTTGGGGGTCAACTCAACTTGATCCATCTTTCCATTCTTCAAAACAAAGCTCAGAAATCAACCCCAGATCCATTGGTTTGGGTGGTCTAAAAAAAAGAAGAGAAAGTGAATAAAGACAGTCTGTTCATAACACGGTTTGACCAAGAGGGAGTAGATTGACAAATATTTGTGAGCATAGTTGGAATTCTTCTGCCAAAAGGAGAGTTTCTGTACAAGTCTAAACAGAGTTTGTTATCAGAGACTTTGCTTATTTTGAATGATTGGCATGCTAAGGTTGCAACAGTGCCTCTTTATACACTGTAATTCAGGGATTTCTAACCCTCTACACACCCCGGTTGGCCTTCTCTGGGCTCCAAAGTTAAGCGGGATTAGGAGTGGTTAGATTAGGATACAGTAAAACCATCTCTACAGAAACTACCATTAAAGTTACAGTAGTTTATATGTATTTTAGATATTATAACTTGTGTGTAGTGAAATAAAGGAAATTTGGATTACCATAAATTTAAATACTATAGATCTTAAAGGTTAAATTGGAATACTGTAATTAAGAATTAAGAATTAGGTGAAACTTAAAAACAGGATACGGATATGTATAAGCAAAACATGGATTGATAAATGCTTTAACCGGAATTTGTTATGGTTAGAAATTTACTCGTTTTAGTATGATATACCAAATGTTAAGAGAAATAGAGAAGGAAGTTTTGATAATGTAATCTGAGATATGTACTAAAAATTTTGTTATTGAACTATTGATTACCCAGTCACCACGTTGCTTTCTAAATACTTGGATGTTAAAATGGAAAACTAATAAAATTTGTTATTAAAAAAAAAGTTACAGTAGTTTAGTCTCATAGTTGCCAAGTTTGAAAAAAACACTGGTCCGCAGTAAAAACCAGTACAGCCTTCTCAGTCTTTCCACTTTGGGACAATCAGCAAAACCAGACCTCATGACAGGTAGTCCTCGACTCATGACCACAACTGAGCCCAACATTTCTGTTGCTAAGTGAGACGTTAGTTCAGTGAATTTTGCCCCATTTTCCTCCCACGGTTGTTAAGTGAATCGCCGTCATTAAGTTAGTAACATGGTGGTTAAGTGAATCTTGGTTTCTCCCTTGACTTTGCTTGTCAGAAGGTCACAAAAGGGGATCGCGTGACCCCTCGCAGGACACCGCGACCGTCATAAATACGAGTCAGTTGCCAAGGGTCCGAATGTTGATCACATGACCATGGGAGATGCTGCAATGATCGTACGTGTGAAACATAGCCGTAAGTAAGCCCTTTTTTCAGTGTCGTCGTCGTGTAACTTCAAACGGTCACTAAATGAACTGTTGTAAGTCGAGGACTATCTGTACTCTTACCTTCCAATGGCCAAGTGGGAGAAGATATGCTTTGAAGACCTGAAGGAACTGGTTTGGTAATGTCTGTGGAGATTTTCGGTCATCCAGGTCATCTAAGGGGGAGGAGAGGGAAGAAGGGGAGGGGGAGGGGGAGAAGAAGGAGGAAGAGGAGGAGGAGGAGAAGAAGAAGAGATGAAGGAAGAGGAGAAGGAGAAGAAGAAGAGGAGGAGAGCAGGGGAAGAGGAAAAGAAGGAGAGGAGGAGAAGGAGGAGGAGGAGGAAGAAGAAGAAGAAGAAGAAGAAGAAGAAGAAGAAGAAGAAGAAGAAGAAGAAGAAGAAGAAGAAGAAGAAGAAGGAAGAAGAAGAAGAAGAAGAAGAAGAAGAAGAAGAAGAAGAAGAAGAAGAAGAAGAAGAAGAAGAAGAAGAAGAAGAAGAAGAAGAAGAAGAAGAAGAAGAAGAAGAAGAAGAAGAAGAAGAAGAAGAAGAAGAAGAAGAGGAGGAGGAGGAGGAGGAGGAGGAGGAGGAGGAGGAGGAGGAGGAGGAGGAGGAGGAGGAGGAGGAGGAGGAGGAGGAGGAGATGACTTAACATCCGAATGTTTTATATAGATTTTATTAGTTTTTATGGTGTTAGGAATAAGGTGGGGTCGGGGTTAGGGTTGGGATTCGGGTTGGGGTTGGGGTTTTCCCAAATAACATTCTCAATATTTAGCAAACAGCATAATGTCTGGGTTCATGTATTTAACAAACAATAATAAATAATAGTTAATTACTATCCTCTTATCTTCTTGTCTTGTCTTGTCTTGTCCTGTCCTGTCCTGTCCTATCCTATCCTCTTATAATTCATGTTCACCCTATATTCGGGGGAAAAAAAAGAGGAAAGTTTACTTAACCCGAACTTTCCAAGAAACAAAACCCCCGTGTCTCTTAACAACTTCTGACTCTGCCTCCAGTTTTAAATAAGGAGTAGGATTTCACAGACGGCGGGTTTAATCTGCGTCGCAAAAGACTTTGAAACGCCAAAGGGCTAAGTTGTTCAGAAAGAGGGCAGGGGGAAAACAAAACAAACACAGAGAGGGAGAGAATGTTTGTTTCAGACAGACGGTCCTGTCTGTTCACCTTCCTTTTCTACTTTTATTATCTTGGAGAGGCAAGAATTGGTATGGCAGGAATGGGAACAATTGCCGGCCCAACATAGTTGGGAACCATCCCAAACTAAGAAGTCAGTCAGATGATTAATTCATCCGAACAGCAAAAATCAACAAGGAAAATCCTTGGCAGAAAATTTAACACAGGTCGCCTTTGACTTACAACCACAATTGAGCCCAAAACTCCCATTGCTAAACGAGACAGGTGTTAAGTGAGCTTTGCCCCGTTTTACAACATTTCTTGCCCGCTTTGTTAAGCGAATCACTGCCGTTGTTAGGAACACCGCTGTGAAATGAATGTGGCTTCCCCATTGACTTTTGCTTGAAAGTAAGTCACAAAAGGGAATCACGTGACCCCGGGACACTGTGACCGTCGTAAATATGAACTAGGTGCCAAGCATCCAAATTTTGATCATGGGGGGATGCAGCGATGGTCGTAAGTGTGAAAAACGGTCGTAAGTCACTTTTTTAAGTGCCGTTGTAACTTTGAATGGTCACTAAATGAACTGTTGTAAATTGAGGAGTGTCTCTAGCTTGTCTTCCACCTCCCTTTGTGCCTAAAGCAGGCTCACTGACCTTAAGGTGAGATGAGAAAGGTCTCACCTGCTCATATTAAACCATTAATTAATTACTTTTAAATTATTCTAAGTTAGCATTACGAGTCCTCTGGCTGTAATAGGTCTCTCGCTTCAAGGTCCACATTAATGTAGCTCTCCATCCCTTCATCTTACCAGAGTCTAAAGAAACTTTACACAAGAAATTGTCAGACTTTGGATCTACCTGCCTGATAGGTGACAAGGAAGGTCAGTTCAGATGCAAACACACACAAATTAGAAGGGCTGGAGGCAAATGTTAGATTAAACACCAAAGAATCTGCTTTTATTACTCAGGGGAGCTTCAGTGTAATCGGAATAACTAAAACAGTTCAATCATTGTATGTCATAATTGGCTTAGATTAGGTCCACTGATTTTCTGAAGTGACACGGTGAAGACCACCAACTTGTGCGGATTTAAAAGAGACTTGAATAAAATAATATTAAGGGCTTTTGGTCTTGAAGTCTCCATGTCTTCAATAGAGCAGCTCAGAGGTATGTTCCTTTGAGAAACAAATTGGTGGACTAAAATGGATTGTCTTTCTTGAATTATAGCAGAATAGCAGAGTTGGAAGGGACCTTGGAGGTCTTCTAGTCCAACCCTCTGCTCGGGGAGGAAAATCTATACCATTTCAGGCAAATGGCTGTCCAATCTCTTCTTAAACACCTCCAGCGATGGAGCACCCACAACTTCTGGAGGCAGGTTGTTCCACTGGTTAATGGTTCTCACTGTCAGGAAATTTCTCCTAGATTGCTTCTCTCCTTGATTAATTTCCATCCATTATGATGGTATTCAAGCTGGATTGTCACTTGCCTCTTCAGATTTACTAATCTGAAACACAGAAGCACAGAAGCTAGTCTAGTTAAAAGAAGGACTGTTGTTCGTCCATCGATTTCGATGAAGATCTTGACATCTTGTGGGTTATGGGCCATCAATGACGTGTCCGTAGGTGGCTAATAAGACCAATGTTAGCACGGAATGTTCTGCCACATACTGAACAAAAAAATGTAGACACTGTTATTTCAGCATTTGCAGCTCTGGCTTTGCAGAGTGCTCGCTTTTCTTGTGCCAAGATTATCCTTCTGTGTTCATATGTCTGGCAACCCTGGTACACCAAGGTGCGCCATGTCGGTCGATCATGCGCCAGAAGTTCCCAAGAGATGGTGTTAATATCCAGGGACTTGAGAGAGGCTTTCAGCGTGTCTTTGTATCGCTTCTTTTGTCCCCCGTGCGATCGCTTTCCTTGAGACAGCTCACCGTAGAAGAGCTGTTTAGGGATGCGATGATCTGGCATCCTTACAACATGGCCTGCCCAGCGCATCTGGGCTTTTATCAACAGAGTGTAAACTGATGATAGGTCTGCTCTGGAGAGGACATCTGTATCTGGTATCTTATCCTGCCACCGGATCCTCAGAATTCTACGAAGGCAAGCCATGTGGAAGTAGTTCAGTTGGACTAGAGGCAACGTGATAGCAGTGTTCCAATATCTGAGGGGCTGCCGCAAAGAAGAGGGGGGTCAATTTTCCAAAGCACCGGAAGGCAAGACAAGAAACAACGGATGGAAACTAAACAAGGAGAGAAGAAGCAAGGTAGAACAATTAACAATTGAGAACAATTAACCAGCGGATCAACCTGCCTCCAGAAGCTGTGAATGCTCCAACACTGGAATTTTTAAAGAAAAGACTGGACAGCCATTTGCCTGAAATGTTATAGGGTCTCCTGCTTGACTAGATGACCTCCAAAGTCCCTTCCATCTTTGTTATTCTGTAAGGCTTTCTTTCCCGGCAGGCAAAGGTAGGCAAGCTGCCAACCTCTGTGTCTCATGAGTTCAAAATTTCCCTGTAAGCAAACAAGTCGTGATCTCTGATAAGAAGGTTCGGCCAGATGCTTTCCTGTTTGACAGCAGAGAAAGCCAGAGAGAGAAAGAGGCAGAGAGATAGAAAACAAAAAGAGATCAGGTTGAGAAATTGCAACATACCTACTCTGAACACACACACACACACACACACACACACACACACACACACACACACACACACACGTTGCTTGTTTCAACCAAGAGTAGGCCTCAGCAGATTTCTCCTGAAATGTGGTCCCGATAAAATAAATCGAGGAGAGTCTTGCCCTAACATCCACTTTACCGGATTTGCTGAGGAAAATCGTTGAAGATCTTCTTTCAGTGGTTGTGTTCAAATGGCAATAAGCCACCGAAAACCAGGCCGTGCTCACCACCGTTTTCCTCCTGACATATAACCTTATATATCCTATCTTTTAAAATTAAACCATTCTTCCTTTACCGTATCAGGAAAGGAATTATTTACTCCCCTTTGACTGCCAGGCTGTGCAAACAAACTCTTCTCTGTGCACCTGAAAACAGAATTATGTCGAAAGCACTCGGGGAATTTGAAGCGAGTCCCAAAAATAAAACCTGAAATGTATCAAAAAACGAGTTGGCAAAAATTCATCTCACTTCAGTCCCACGATTAAAAAAAACCAAACAAACTCAGAACATGGTGACAGATCTTCACTTCTGTTCACTGCTCGTTTCCTTTCCATCTATTCATCTTTGTTTTTTTCCCCCCCACCTCCTAGTTTTGTTAGCATTTCAGAAAGGGCAGGATGCTTGGAATCAATACAGATCTCTGTATTCCGATGTTTGAAAAAAGCAACTGGAATTTATTTAGTGCTGTAGAAACGGTGGTCCTGTAGCTCCGTAAATAAAAACATCCTCACAGCCTCCGCAGGGCAGACTTCCTACATCCCGAAGTTCTCCAAATGTTTTGATCTGAATCCAGAATCCCCAGACAGACTTTGATTATACTGGCTGGGAATTTTAGGAGTTGTAGTTCCCACACATCAGGGTGGAATAATTCTGTTTAGCCATTATTTATTGAATAACTCCACCAAGGGGATTTGAATGGATAAATAATACGCAAATAAATCCATGCACCAAGACTTAGGGCAAGAATTAGGACACTTGAATTAATTGAATTAAAAAGGCTGACTTGGTCGCTCAACAGCGAGACACCGGTGAAGCGGGCACAGCAGCGCCTGCAATTTCTGCGTCACATGAGAAAAGCACATCTTCCTTCCCCTGTCCTGACCACTTTCTACAGAGGGACGATCGACAGCATCCTGTCATACAGCATCACAGTCTGGTTTCGAAGCATCACTGCTTCGGATAGGAAGGCGGTGCAGAAAGTGGTGAGGACGGCAGAAAAGATAATTGTCAGTTCCCTCCCTCCCATCCAGGACATAGCACAGAAGCATTCTTTGAGTAGGGTCCACAAGAGTGTCTGGGACACTACACATCCTCTTCATGATTTGTTTTCCTTGTTCTCTTCTGGGAGGAGGGGGCTCCGTGGTATCCAAAGCAGAACATCCAGATTGGGTCACA